CTTAGATTAAGAATAATTTAAGAGCATGGTTGAGATATTGAATATCGAATGACTTGGAATAAAATATTGAGAATATCATGAATGTTTGAATCATATATTGTGTGCATGATATCAAATGGTTGATTATGAATTGAGATTCAATTTATTTGGATGTTCGACGCTTTAGATATGCTTACTCAGCTTCATCGCTGAGCGTGTAGTATGTTTTATTTGCTACACGCAGGTAGACAGAATGAGTGAATGGCATGTTCTTGGCAGCGGAAGGGGCGAGACAGTCGTGGTAGATTTATTGAGAAAATAAATGATTCTGTTATTATGAACCATGTTTAAAAATCGCTTCCGCATTAAACACTTCGTATTTACTACAATTATGTTTGGAATTTCATTTATGATGAATAAAGTTATTTGAAATGTTTTAAATTATACGATTACCAAGTTAATACTTTAGTTCGGAAGGGGTTGTAAACCTGGACGGATTAGGGTGTTACAGTCCTTCTCTTGCTTCCATGTTACCGGTCACTTGCCCAACAATCAGGCTAGAGTCAGATTTGATACTGACCCGGCTGATTTTCAGGGCTTGGGCAAGTCTGAGCTCTCCAGCCAGAGCTTCATATTCTGCCTCATTGTTCGTCAGCTTGAAGTTGAAGATGATTGCATGGTAGATCTTGAACCCTTCTAGGGTGGTGAACACGATACCACCCCCGTATCCTCTAGGACCAGATGCCCCATTAACTGCCATCTCCCACCATTGCTCAGCGGGTTTGTTGACCGGTAGGTCTGGAGTTAGACCGGTCATTTCTACCAGTAAGTCTGCAAGGGCTTGTCCCTTGATTGCTGACCTTGGCCGATACTCAATGTTGAATTGAGTTAACATCATTGCCCACTTCACCATCCTCCCAGAGGAAGTTGAATTTCGCAACACTGCAACCAGCGGTTGGTCAGTCAAGACTTCCACCGGCTGAGCTTGGAAGTAGGATGTTAATTTTTTTGCGGAGATGAAAAGCGCATAGGCAGTCTTCTCCATCGCCGTATATCTACTTTCGGCTCCGTCTAGTGCTTTGCTCACATAATAAATGGGCTTTTGTGCCCCATCATCTCTTATTAAAACGGAGCTTATAGCATTTGGGGAAATTCCCAGGTACAGATACAGAGTTTCACCCGGTTCGGATTTAGACAATACAATATCCGACGCTAGGTACTCTTTCAGCTCCTCAAATGCCCTCTGGCATTCTTCGTCTCATGCAAACGTGTTGGCCTTCTTCAGAATCTTGAAGAAGGGCAGAGATCTCTCAGCTGACTGGGAAAGGAACCGGCTGAAGGCCGCTAGACGACCGGTCAACTTCTGAACATCCCTAACGGAGGTAGGGGCTTGCATTTCAGTGATGGCCCGGATTTTTTCTGGGTTGGGCTCTATTCCTCTCTTGGTCACCATGAATCCCAAGAACTTCCCGGTACGAACCGCGAAGACGCATTTCTTAGGATTCAGCCGGAGATTGTATTTTGCCATGATATCGAATGTGGCTCGCATATCAGCCGGGTGGTCGAGAGATACCTGGCTTTTGATCAGCATGTCGTCGACGTATGCTTCCATGGTCTTTCCCAGTAGCGGCTTGAAGAGTTTGTTCACCATGCGCTGGTAGGTTGCTCCTGAGTTCTTCAAGCCAAACGCCATTACCCGGTAGCAGTAAGTTCCTTCGGGTGTGAGAAATGACGTCTTCTCTTCATCTTCCTTGGCCATGTAGATTTGGTGGTAACCCTTGAAGGCATCCATGAAACTTAGGAGTTCGCACCCTGCAGTTTCGTCCACCATTTGATCTGGAGTGGTAAGGGGGTATGAATCTATCGGACAAGCCTTGTTCAAGTCCGTATAATCCACACACATTCTCCACGTGTCGCCCTTGGGAGCAAGGACAACGTTGGCCAGCCAATCCGGGTATTTGACTTCCCGGATGTGACCAACACTGAGGAGGTCCCTCACTTCCTTCTTGACGAAGGCTCGCCAGTCACTGGCCAGGTACCACTTCTTCTGACGTACCGGTCGACTTCTTTCCCTCACGGCCAACCGGTGGCAGATAACAGAGCGATCTATTCCGGGCATATCCGCCACGCTCCATGCGAATATGCCCGCGTATTCTTGGAGGACCCGCGTAATCTCTGCCTTGAGATCTTCGGGGAGATTTGCTCCAATTCTGACCATCCTCGAAGAATCACCCGGGTGAAGTTCGATTTCCTCCGTCTCGGCCTCGGGCTCCAATTTCTCCCGGGTCTCTCCCTTTGTGATCTCTTGGGAGATGACATTGACCCCCTTGGTCATCTTCTTAACTGCCTCGGCATAGCACTCCCCGGCGTTCCTCTGGTCGCCTTTCACCTCACGCACACCACCTGGAGTGTGGAACTTCATGCACAGGTGAGGCATGGAAATCACTGCCCCGACCTTATTGATGCCCGGCCTTCCAAGGATTGCGTTGTGGACGCATTTGATGTCAACAACGATGAACCGCATCTTCTTCCATATGGTTTTTTCACCCGATCCTAGTTCGACCGGTAGAACTATGGATCCTTCAGCTTCCACTATATCTCCCGTGAAGCCTGATAGAGGGGTTCAATTTGTGTCCGACACAAACTGAGTTTTTAGAAAGTTTCCAGGTACAAGATGTTGACACTGCTGCCGGTATCAACAAGTACCGGGCAACATCCACCCCATTAATGTCCATGGTAATAACCAAAGGATCATTATGATCTTCACCGGTAGGGGGGAGGTCCCGGTCAGTAAAGACGATCGGCTCCCTCCCCGTATGCTTACGCCTGGCCAGTTCAGCACTTACTTCACCAACGTAAATGCTGCGGACCCAATTCTTCCGCTGCGCAGCTGAATCTCCACCTTCAGGCCCGCCGAAGATCATTCCAATATGCTCTTTTTCAGGAGCAGGTTGCCGCTCCCTTGGCCGGTTATTCCTCCGCCGGTTGTTGTCCCGGTCATTTCCCGGGGCAGCTGGCCTAACCCATTGATGACTCTTCTCCTGTGCTTTCTGCAAGTAATCCTTGCTCAGTTCTCCACTGTCTATCATCTGCCGGATTACTCCCTTAACACTCTTACATTCGGAAGTGTTATGGGAATCTGACCTGTGGTACAAATAATAGGTGTCCGACCATTGCCGTCCTGTTTGACCGGTAGGGTTCTCTGGTAGAATGACCAGTGCTTTCCGGATTTCTTGGCATTCTTCCGTATTGACCATACGAACGACCGAATCATAGTGGTGTCTTGGCCGGCTAGGTCCTGGTGCTTCTTCCTTCTTGACTTGCACCGGCTTGGGCTTGTAACCATGCTCAGCTTCTTTCTTCGCCCGGAGTTGGGTTTCAGCCTCAGCAAACTCCCATGCAGTGTGATAGGCCTCCTGGTACGTGGCCAGGGGTTTCCGGCAGAACTCCTTGTATAGTTCCCCGGCACGCAGGCCATTCAAGAGAAGAGATAAGACGGTCTTGTCATCCATCTCCTCCACCTTGTCTACCTCTTCCTTCCACCAGGTAAGGAACTGAGTAAGGTTCTCAGACTCCCTCTGCCCGGCTGTACTAAGATAGGTGAATTTCTTCCTCTTAGTATAGTTCTCCTGGAACTTGGCCTTGAATTTTGAGGCCAAGTCACTGAACGAATCAATACTTCCTGGGCGAAATTTGTTGAACCATTCAGTAGCTCGGTTCCGCAAGGTCTGGAAGAAAAGAAGACACTTTTCTTTGTCTGTGCAACCGTTCATGGTTGCACTCTGGTTGAAGGAGTCCCGATGGATTTCCGGATCTTCCTTCCTGGTGAATCTAGGGGCGTCGATCTTGACCTTTCGCGGGAAAGGTGTCAAATGGACCCTTTTGGTGAACGGGGACCCCGCCAGGGATTTGTCCCGATCATTCTTTTCCCCGACCTTCTTCTCCAGCCTTTCCAGTTTTGCCTCCATATGCTGGACGCGGTCATTTGGGATAGTTAACCGGTTCACCATCGGTAACCTGGGCTGGCTCTCTGCTTCCTCTTCCTGACGAGAGGCCCTCGTCCTCGCTGGCTCCTCCGGTTAGACCAGGAGCGCCAGGTGCGGGCAGGCTCGGCCTCCCTCACCTCGCCTAACCGGGCGAACGCGCTGACATGGGCAACACTATGCCCCAACCTCTGTTTGGCTGACTTTCTCTCGCCTTCCTCCCTATCCCCCAGCCTTTCGAAGGCGGAGTTTCGGGAAGTTGCTGGCCGGATGTTTTTTCCCTTCTTCTTCTTGTGGGCCCTCGGAATGTCCTACTCGCCGTCATCACTCTCAACTGAGACGTAATGACCATTAGGGGTGACTTGCGGATTCGTACCTTGCGGGGGACGCGATGGCCCTGCAGCGTTAAGCGCGCCAGTCAAGTTGACAGGGGCTATGGTGCTGACCAGCTGCGGCTGGAAAGGTGATGGTTGCGGCATCGGCGTCTGGAACGGCGTCACTGCCATTGGAGCTTGTAGGGGCATGGTTCCCGCGCCTGGAAGAGCGAACGGGAACATACCAGGGAGAAAAGGCATCCCCCCATTCTGTTGGCACATGGCCATGACCTGGCCAAAGCCCTGGATGGCCTGTAGGTTGGCCGGGTCATTCATGAACTGAGTCATGCTTGGTGGGAACGTGACCCTTGGTCCAGCGGAAGGGACGGGGGTCGTGAAGGGGCTGACCACGCTAGGCATTGGGACAGAGCTCAGACCCAAAGGCAACACTGGGGCGGAAATGACCGGCAGGGTAGCAGCCACAGGGATGCTTGTACCCTTATTGGTGGCTTGCACCTGAGTGGAAGTAGCGTTGATTTGTTGACTGGAAGACATTTTGAGTGGTGTCTTCGTGGGTAGGTTTGTGTTTAGAAGAAAAAGAAACCTTAACGGTCCCACGGATGGCGCCAAAAATGATGGTGTAAATTACTTGACCGGTCAAACTATACTAGACCGGGTCTAGAATAGTTTGTTTGATTCGGCAAAGTAAGAAAGGTAAAAACACACAGATTGGCCGGTAGGATTTTAGGTGGAACACCTGTAGCCCAATTTATATTATAACGGAGAATGCACGGGTGCTTTTACAAGGGAGTTTAGAGAGAATGAATTCAGGATCCCTCTTTCTGAGGTTTACCTGAGTATTTATAATAGGCTAAGGGGGACAAGACCACGTGCGCCCACGTGGGGGCACGCTGCTGATGTGGTGCGAGGTGACTGGTTTCGTCCTTGAGCTGCCTTGTCGCATTGCGAGGGGAATTATTCCCTTTGTCAAGTAGTGCCTTGGATGGATTCCTCAAGTATCTCCAGCTATCCTCCACTGACATGGGTCGCTACACGCCAAACCCTTTTAGATTCTCTTCTGCCGACACTTTCCAACCCTAGAAACTACACCGGGTAATCTCCGAGGGATGAATTTATCGGAGTTAGGAAATAAATAGGGTGACAAAGTAGTTTGACCGGTATACTCTTTCGTGAAGTATACCGGTCATCTTTGGGCCGATTACATATCGATTTGCTGATGATTTAAGTCTCCCTTCCAAGACTTTCGAGATTGACCGGTCAACTAATTGGTCTTCTCCTTTGACCGGTCGTGGGTGGAATACACCCATCAGTGTGGTTGCAGGGATTTTCATTATTATTTAGAACTAATATTTTTAATCCTATTTTAGTTTTCACTCGTGAAACAATGACATTAAGTTGATTAAGAGTGAACTTCAACCCAGTTAAAAGTAATCCAACAAATGATAATATTTGATATTGACTTTTATTCATAGTCATAACAAAACGTAAAACAGTCATATATCTTCCTCTGGTTTTCATTCATTGTAGATATATATTACTTCCTAAGTCCTAAAACTATCTTCCCATTTGTTCATTTTTAATGTTCTAAAACTACCTTCTCACATCCCAAAAAAAGAGTGTAAAATGACTATCCTACCCTTACAACATCTACCCCCTCCCCAACCTTCCCACTCTATCGACATTCTTTCTCCATCGTATCTTCGTCTTTCTTTCAATTCCCCTCCTCAAAACCTAGAACAATCTAGGGATCAGAGTTGCAACCATCGTCGTTCTTGAGATCATCTTATTATCATCAGCTCCCCCTCCACACTTGAAATCTCAGCATCTGCACTCGGCATCTAGGGATTGGGGTTGAAGGAAGGACGCTGGTGGGAGTAGTAAGGTCGCCAGTATGTGATTCGAACTCTAAATAGCTTCACGGAATTGGAGATGATGATGAGATTCATTAGCCGTTACCTTCAACCGAAATTGGCCTAGGTATGTTTTTTCTATAGCCGTCTAGAGTTTTTTTCAATTGTTTTTAAATCAAAATTTAGTCTTTTTTCGATTGGTTATTCAATCCATTACTCATCAATTGTTTTCTTATTGGCCAAATTTACATGCCGCAACATTAATAGTTGTGCTTTTTTGAGCGGGCCAAACATGTTAATTGCCCGTTAACCTCGTGACCTATGTGTGACTTCTATTGTCAGAACTTCTCACTCAGCGTGAAAGCTGAGTGAGTAGTTTGTTTTACTTGCTACACGTAGGTAACATGAATGATGAATAAGGGAACAATCTTGGAGGGGAGCGAGGATGGAGAGATGGGTGGACACTGGCTGAAAAATTAGTTAATTAAATATTTAGCTCTTAATTTAATATGTTTTTGGGCAAAGAACTCAGAATTGTATTTTGAATTAAGTACTTAAGCTTCCACATCGTTTTACATTACTCCGATGGATTTATAGATATTGTTCTTGAATTAAATGTTTTACAGTTGTTTTGAAAATTATTGTGTTTGGATGCCGATCTAGTGACAACCTGACCCGCTAATCCATGTATTCGAGTTATGCAAGTCATGGTGTTACAGTGTAACTTACTTAGGGTACAACTTGGTGCACCCAAGCATTTTTTATAAAGTAATTGTCCCATCTTTTTTTAAATACCTAATTGTCCATTTAATGTTCTTGTATACCGAGTAAGTTTTACTTCCCTTTGTCCCAATTTAAATCGCAATTTATTGTTTATGAGATTTTTTATTGAAGATATTTTCAATTTAATTTATTTGAAGAGTTAAAATATAAAATGTATATAATTAAAAACTGCATCAAAAGTTCTACAAAGTAAGACGTGTAAAGACTATATTACTGTGTATTTACTCAAATGAGTAGCGAAAATGGATAAAAAAACATGGTTAAGGTTTGACCCTCTAATAGTAAAGAGGGAATTTAAATTGAGATGAGGGGAGTACTATTTATGCGTCAAGGGAATTTAAGAGTCACCCACTTTGAATGGCTCTAAATGACATCAACTCTAATGGGAAGATCTATGATGCTCCATTCTAAGCATTAATGGTCATGGCATCCTGTAACCACTCGGTAAAGCCTCAACTCCTGCCAAAATCGACTCCTAACCCCTTTGATTTCATCTCTCAAATTTAGTTAACTTTTACGTCAAAACATTTGATCTCAAAGTCAACTAAATATGGGAAATAAAATTAATGGGGTTGGGGTGGGTTGGATATGACTGAGGTGAGAGCTTTATCAGGGAGGTTAGAGAGATAGGAACCAATAATTTTTTAAAGAATAAATTCCTAAAATGGTACTTAATAACTATGTGTTTTTCCAAATTAATCTCGAAAATTAATTAATTCTTAAGATGGTACTCGTTAATTGAAAATAATACTCAGTTCAGTCCCCCGACTAATATAATGGCCGTTAAAACGATGTTAAACTTTATACTACTGTCTCAAAATGGTACTTTTTAACTCGGTGTTTTCTCAAATTGGTCTATTTTCGGAATAAAAATATATTAATTATAGAAAAATCTTTTAAACTCTATAGAATGACAGTATAATACTTAAAAATATAAATATAATTTTATAAATTTAAAAGCATATGTTTTCGATTATTTATAATTATTTAGAAAAATAGCATGTAAATAACATGTTTAATAATTGTTTAAAAAAATTACCCTAAATAGGTGCAAAACATAAAGAAAATACCAAAATAGGAACTCTTTCTCTATGTTTTACTCCTATTTAGGACATTTTCTTCAACTTTTATTAAATATTTTGTTTACATGATATTCTTTTAAATAATTATAAATAATCTCATATGTTACTTTCATATTTATAAAATTATATTTATAGTTTTTTAGTATTATATTATGATCCTATAAAATTTAAAATATTTTTTCATAATTATGTATTTTTATTTTGAAAATAGACCCATCATTTATTTTTATTTTGAAAACACCCAATTAGAAAGTATCATTTTAGGAAAGTAGTATAAAGTTTAACGTCTTTTTACCATCATTTTAACAACAATTAGTCGGGAGACTGAACTAAGTATTATTTTCAATTATCAAGTACTATTTCGGGATTTGTTAATTTTGAGGTAAGTACCATCCTGAGAATTTACTCTTTTTTAAACAAAAGATTGTACATGCCAAAGAAAGGATGTGGCACTACAGTGTCATTCGGAGCCATAGGCTCTTGAACTGTTCCGTTCATGGGGAATACAGGAATGTCAAAATCACCCAACTCGTCTAAGAAAACATAGGAAACCGGCGCCATGATAAATCTACCAGCACACCAAAAAGATTTATAGTCCAACAAAGTCATTGTAACTAGCTATAATAGGAAGTCACAAAGTTGAACCCCAATGAAGATAGTAACTCTCAGCACTTAAATAGGTTGAGAAAATAGATACCGAGTACTACAAAGTATGGAGTAACAAAGTTCTTCAACTTTATGAGTTGGTCTTTCAACTTTATGAGTTAGTCTTTCAACTTTATAAGTTGTGCATGATTAGTCCTTCAAGCTTCAAAAATCCATGAATAGTCCTTTAATTTTATGAGTTGTGCACGATTGATCTTTTAATTTTCAAAAATTCATAAGTAGCCCTTCAAGTACACATCATCCATCTAGATGAGGTCCTTTTGACAGTAATTATAAAAGCTAATGAAATACTAGTTCCATATAATACGAGTGAGTTACACTGGGTCGACTACTCCATATTATATGGAATTAGTACTCCATTTAGCTTTTAACGTTTTACCTTCAAAATGACCTCGTCTGGAGACTGACGTGTACTTGAAGGACTACTTATGAACTTTTAAAACTTGAAAAACCAACCGTGCATAACTCATAAAGTTGAAAAACTATTTATGGACTTTTGAAACTTGAAAGACCAATCGTGCACAACTGATAAAATTGAAGGATGAACAGTGGACTTTGGCCTAAAAATAATCTACACGATGCAAGAGCAAACTCTCATGTTTTTAATCTTCTCATTCGTCATTCACAAAGTATAACCATACCTTGTTTTTTTCATATATAGCTTCATTGGTCATTTAATTACTCCCTCCGTCCCAAAATATAATGCTTATTTACTATTCACAGGGTCAAACTTCATTCACTTTCTTTCTCTATTTTCGTTAACAATTCGATAAAATAAAATATTATTGTCACTACTAGTTTTGTAGATTTTTTTATGTAATTTTTTAATATGTAATTTTTATTTTTTAATTCTATATCATTTGTCATATAAAATGGTTTGAAAATAATTTCAGTCAAACATCGTAAACCGAAACAGGCGTTATAAATTGGGACGGAGGTAGTAATACGGAGTATAAAATTATGTCTCCTCTTTCATCATTTAACTTTTGATATAGATTATAAGTATATAAAGTTTATTCTTTAAATTTTACATCAATATCGAAATAAATTTGAATTAAAAATAATTTCAGTCAAACATAATCGTCCAAAACAGACAGAAGGAGGGAGTAACATAAAAGGACAAAATGATGGCACGCAAGCTTGCAATTGAAAATCCTTTAGCATGTTTTAGCTACAACCGAACTTGCCCTCAACACATCCATTTCAAATATGAATTCAAAATCATGCATGCCATTGCCATCCATGAAGAATCCATATGTTTGCGTTAATCTCGCCTTCTGAAACCCTGTTTGGTTTTACTACCCAATCAACTATTTCTTCTTATTCTTCTTCCCGCCCCCGGCTTTTGATTTCTTGTTTGCCGCTCCTTTATCAGCAGCCCCGGTTGTCTCCTGCCATCGAAATAGGACAGCAATTTAAAGTAGGACTCGGATTGAATAGGCAGATTACCACGGCATAATCCCGATCACTTAGGGCCTGTTTGTTGAGTTTTAATAAATAACGGAGTATTTTGGAGGGATCTGAAATAAGTGACCGGATGCAGATGCAGTGGCGGGCATTTGACGGAGATCTAAACCCCGGATTGATATCTCCTAAATTCGGAAGATATCAAAACACCCCCATTTGGGAGGGTTGTGACATCGGGAATATCAAATTCTTTCGAGTCCTAATTCGACTTCACCAGACACCCAGAAAAGGGTTCAAGTATCGGGAGATAAGGGAACTCATATCTCATGCGCTCGCCAAACATGCCCTTTTTAGTTGTTTCAGAAATTTGTATGGAGACCACACTCAAAATTCAACCATTCACGGTATTTGTACAAACATCAAATGTTGTTAAATTAGTACAAACAAGCCGTAATGAATATTGAACATCATGTATGTTCGTCAAGTTTTACAGTATCATATGCTAGAGCAGACAGTTTAGTTAAACGGTAGGGTAGTGACTAATTTGAACCCAAATCTAACGATCGCAGGATTAGGCTGCAAAAGACCTTTGGGCAAAAAGGAAGCTTGTACGGAGAGCATTCTAAACTTTGTTAAAGGAATTGGAGACACAAGAACACATTTGGTGACCTGTGAGGCCAATATTGGAAACATTTAGGCATACATGTACTGTAGGAGTGTAGAATCAAAAACAAATAAGGGATCCTCTAGAACTCTACTTGGCTATTTCAATCATGTCTAGGAAAACAATAAGGATGTCCTACAGGATTGCATATTTTCTACACATTTGAGTTTTTTCCAAGTCTCGTCTCTCAACAAGCGAATGACTTGATGACTTTATACAACTTTGTTTTTGTCACAAGACAGTTCATCCAAAAACACAAGTCAATGCTTACAGAAATTATAGTAATTTCAAAACAAATAGAAGCTTAGCAGTTTGTACTGCCTTAAACAGAAATATGGGCCAAATAACTCCAATGTCCCCTTCTGGTTCGGTAAATTGGTACCAATACCCACTCTGTTTTCAAAATTTATTTCTAAATCCCCGTGGTTTGAAAGCGTTGTACCCGCACTCACACCCCCTCTGATCACTTTCCGGCAAAAAGGGGGCATTGGTGCCTATTTTCCAAACCACGGGGCGCAACAGAGCTCATTTCCCAATTTTCGTTTACTTTTTTATTTTTTCCTTTTTTTAAACTCTTTTTCCTCTCTTTCTTTCCTTTTCTTAGATAGTTTTTTTTAATTTCTTTTCTAAAATTTTTTATAATGTTTTTTAAAAATTCAAAATTGTTTGTGTTTGAAATAAAAATTAAAAAAATGTAAACATTAACATGTACTCCATCTATCTCAAATTAAACATGTTCAATATTTTGTTTTCTAGAATTTAAAAAATTGTTTTGGGAGTTCAAAAATAAAAATCCGGAATAAAAAGATTAAAAGCATGGAAAAACATAATTAGAAAAATTGAAACATACAAAAAATACTCTTATACAAAAAGAATTTCAGAATGTCTAAAAAAGTCCTTAGGATTGGGATGTCCAAAAAAGAGATTCATTTTCATTTTTTCTTTTATTTTATTTCTCATTTTTTGAAGTTCCCAAAAAAGGTTTTAGTTTTTATTTCGGCAAACAAAAAATAAACTTTTTGTATTTGAGACGTACAAATGTTGTATTTGTTAATTATATTTAGAGCCTGTTCTTTAGGACTGGAAAAAAAGAGCTGGATGTTGGAAGAAACTGGAAGAAATTGGAAGAACATGAATGAACTGGAAAGAACTGGAAGAAACTAAAAGAAACTGGAAAAAATTAGAAAAAATTGAAAAATAAAAAAACATTAAATTTTTTTGTGTATTTTTATATTATTCTCATTCTAATTCTTGTTGTTATAAATTATTAATGTTATTATTGTTGTTGTTGTTGTCTCGCTATCATAAGTAATGTTTTTAACATAAAAAATAGTTATTTTTCATACACAAAAAAAACTACTTTGGCAAAAAAAGTTAATTAGAATATAAAATTAGCATAAATATCAAAATCTTATGCAATATTTATCATATAATAATATGATTGTAATTATGTTTTATATATTACAAGATTTTGTTTTAAATATCAAACATGTCACATAATGTAATCAAACCTATTTTTTTACATTTTTTTATGTTTTACTTCTACCGAGGTAGCGAACAACGGAAGATAGGCCCAAGGTAATGTTGTTTGAAGAACTAACTAAAGATGGAATGAAGCAGTTTAGAGATGAAATAGCAGTTAATATTCTACAATGGAGTTAAGCTTAACTTATCTGAATTTGTTTTTTACACTTTTTGGGTCGTTTTTTCTATTCCAAGATGTAGTTCTCTCTTGGTTTTCATAATGTAGTACTCCCCACCCCATTTCATTATTATATTTTACATTAAAATATTGATGTTTTCCTTATATAAATTTAGATTAAAAAAACATTTTATGCAACTATTTTATCCATAGTTTTTTTAAATAGTTTAAAATATTGATGTTTTCCAATTGTACCTTGTAGATTAATATACAAAAAAATGGTATTATTCATATTAAAAAGTTGAAGAAAAAATAATAATCAGTGTGAATCATAAAAATAGTGAGATGAAAAAATGAAATAATTTATAAACTATAGTTATGAACATAATGGGTGTAATAATAATAATAATAATAATATATCGTTTTTAGAATAATTGGTAGGGAAGCAGAAAGACTTTGAAGAAAATAGAAATAGTTGGAAGAAAATGGAAGGAACTGGAAAAAACTGGAAGGAACGGGAAGAGCTGTAAGAAACTGGTAGAAACTAGAAAGAACTGAAAGAAACTGGAAGTTAAGACTTCAAGCCCTAAAGAACAGGCTCTTAATTTCAAACAAAAACAATATTAAATTTTCAAAACATTATAAAAAACAATTTTAAAAAAGAAATTTAAAAACCTTTATAGATAAAAGAAACAAATAGAGAAAAAAGGGGAAGAAACGAAAAATAAATGGAAAATCAGAAATGAGCACCGGTGCCCCCTATGGTTTTAAAAAATAGGCACCAATGCCCCCCTATTTGTAGAATAAATGGCTGGAAAATAATTAGAGGGGTGCGTGTGCAACGTTTTGAAACTACGGGGATTTTAGAAATAAGTTTTGAAAATAGAAGGGGTATTGATGCCCATTTTCCAAACCACATGGGGGAACTAGAGCTATTTGGCCCTGAAAGATGCAAACAAATTGAAGAGGAAGAGGTTAGACAATGTTGTGACTTAAGAAGGATGAGATTGAGTTATTACTACTCTCGATCCCAGAAGTTGCAGATAAAGGGTAAAAGGTATGCGCCACAACGAGGCCCTTAGACGCCCGCACGAGGGGACACAAGTGTTCAAGCTTCTCTCATTATTATATGGAAAGTGTGGTTTAAGCAGAAGTATGAAAATTTCACAAGACTTGAAACATTCACCACTATTTAAAAAATGCATGCGTCATAATTGGCTACGTTCTACAAACATTATAGGGTTTTTTTTAATAAAAGGATTTTAATACAAATGGTACCTTTCTTTTAGCTGGCACTGATGCACTACTAGCAGCTGGTTTGAAGAACGATTCTAACCTGATCGGGAGGCAGAAACTAACATGTTATTAGGATATATAAAACATATAATTTGAAAGCTTAGTCTCATATGCATGCAAACCATACCGGCCCTGAGAAGACTTATTCTTAGCTGCCTTGATCTTTTCTATTGCCTGAAAAACAAGACAAGACAGAGTGAAGAACCTTCAGAGACAGCTAGAATGGCACTTAGTTTCTACTCTTTGACCCTTCAAATAAAAAGCATGAGCAGTAGATAGCATTTGCTACCTTGGTCACTCTGTCTTTGTTGAATCCATTTTGGTCAACCAGGAATTCAACCAACCCCTAAAAGATAATTAGAAAGATAGCATTTATCAATAAAACGAATAACATTTATTGGAAAGTTCAAATGACACGTCCAGTGCCTCCACTAGTTAATTGTTTATGCCATCTTAGCCATGTAGTTATATGTGCCTACACATTTTGTTGTGACAATCTGACCATCATGCAGAGCATTATCAACCATTCGAAGGCCTATAAATCTCATCTCATTATTTCGACATAAAAAGGTTTCCAAAAATAAAACAAGGCCAATGAGCCAATCATCCTGAATGTCATTGCTTTTGATATTCCATAACACATGACATTATAACCACCCTAAATTGATTGTTTTGGAATTTCATATTTCATTCTTTTGTAAATAGATTGCAACATTTCATATAGTGAACTAATTTTAGACATTGAATTGACGATTTATATTTTATTTCATTGACCTCAATATTGTTTCTAGTCGAGATAAGATGAAGATAATAATGGTGAAATTGCATATTGAGCAAAGTTCGCTTTTGTTCCCCTAAATTCTATGATTAACCACTTAACCTTTATGAATCCATGATTTCTCCTAAAACTGTGAGTCACAACTCAAACTACTGAGTGAAATTGACTCCCTAAAATTCCAGTGTCTCTTCTAATTATCCTTTTAATTCATTCCCATGATACAAAGAACCAAGGTACATAAACGTTTTGGTTCTGTTTGTTATATATTTTAGTGTAATTGGAAAAACTATTTGACCAATAGTATTATAACAATCATCAAAGAAGTTTGGCGGTGTGGGGTGCACGCTTCGTTGAGTTTATTATGATAAAAGTCTCGTCTTAACGGGGTTTGTTGACTTTTTTGGTCAAACTATGGAACCCTTTGACCACGAATTTAATATAGTTTAAAATAATTAGATATTATAAAAATTTGATATTTCAATACTATATTTTACAATAAACCCAATTGTACTAAATTTACATTATAACTAAGTATACATTTTCCATAATTTGCGGTCAAAGGGTGCCACAGTTTGACGAAAAAGTCAAACTATGGCAAGCTTTTAGGGACGGAGGGAGTATATAAGAACTGAACGGATTGTTTCACACGATTGAGATTTGAGACGACTTTTTTTCTCCATTCTTACCAAACACCTTTATTGGAGGAGTCATGGTGCGACTATTGAATGTAATTATTTCTTGAAAATAAGTTCTCACATACACTCTCTACAACATTCACGCTCAAATGAATGTTTTTTAACTGCTACACAAGATCATTGGCTTTTTCCCGTTGAGTCAGTTGTTAATACTCCATCCGTTCCTTTTTCATATTTACCTGCTTTGGTTAACCAAGTTTTCTTATTCCTTTTTATTTGTCTACTATTTTTTAAATACTCTTTGGCTTATTTACCCTTATACTATTTGGTTTATCTTTATTCCACGAGGAACATATAGGGGAAGGTGTCTTTTAATAGGGACAATTTAGATAAAACGATTAATGTCTTGATTCATTTATCACCCCAATACATTTCCTTAAGTTGTGTGATTAGTAGGGATAAAAATATGAACATAGGAGTATAAAAATGGAAGATGAAGAATGCCATTTTCCAAATAAATAAACTGTTCCGAAGGAAGTAAAACCACCTCTTCATCAGGAGCACCCCATTTGAGCTCAGGTTGATCATCGCCCTTTAGGACTAGAGGTTCTTTAAAAAGACGTCTAGCCTCTTCGTATGGCCACTCATTTGGTATCTGATATCTGCAGAAATATATATTACATACAGTTGAAAAAAAGTTAGATGTTCAAATGTAAGCAATATTCATGTTTTTTACATAAACAGAAAAATATCGGAAAAATATAGCAAAGAAACTGAACAAGCAGTTTTGAGAATAAATCCACAGCTTATAGATACATATGTTCCACGCTATCAAGTGAAATTGATCAGCAACCTATGTTCCATGCTATCAAAGTCCAATGGAACCCTCCAAAATGTATACATAAAATAAAACAGTTATACTGGTTGCTCTTATTTAATACTCCCTCCGTCCCAACTCCCAAACTCATGTGAATAAGCCAAAATTTCTCTACCTAATTCTCTAATACCAATACAACTTGTTAAAAAGTTATTCTAAATTGAATGTTATGCCAATTTTACCCTAAAAGTTAAAACAAACAAAAGTAGTCTCAAATCTCAAAGCATTACTCATAGGTGACATGATTTTCTGGGAACAACTCCAAGAGTCCAAGGTCCCTGTAATTAAGAAATTAAAACTATGGTCCTTAGATTGTACAGTAAATATCGAAGGATGACATCCCGTGCTAGGAATTGATTTTTTGACGCAACTTTGGCTCGATGATTTTTTTATTTTAGTTCATGTTATTCATAAAAAGCCGTTGTGTACCCTTCCTCTCCTTTCTTTCCCACGATTCTCCTTTTCCATCTTTCTAACTCACACAGTCATAGCCCATCTCTTATTTCTCTCTCATCATTTACTCAATTTCTTTCATCATCTCCCAAAGATATCATTCTCTTTGAAATAGGAAAATGAATTAGAGTGCCTGCAAGATCAGTACCCTGCAACTTTGGCTTGATTGAAAAATTAATGGAAGCCATGAAGAGATGAGGGGCTGATAGTCTAGATAAATTTGCAACAATTGAGAAGCTAGTAGGAGAAGTAGAAATAGGATTCGGGTAGATTGAAGTTTAGTTCTGTTCTGTTTTGTTTTCCTTTTATTTCAATTTCAGAATGAGGCTTTAGTTTTACAAATTTAATGTTGTTGAATCTGACTTGGAAATTTTTATACTTGGATTAGAATTATACACATTCAGCTTGGGTTTTAGTTATACATTCGGCTTCAATCTGCACATGTAATTTTTTGCTCAAATCTTTATAAAGTAGGGAAAGTGTAGAAAGATAATTTTTAAATTTTACTTACCTCAAAAAAATGAAAATGCCTTATAAAAAAGACCAAACAACTTTTTAGAAACTTGCGCTTATACATGGGACCAAGAGTAGTAAATATGTTGGTTGTGGTGTAAAAGTGTATTTTTATTAAAACAACGTAAAAACAACAAAAACCCAATAGAAATCCACAAAAGTATGGTCTGTGGAGGGAGTGTGTACGCTGAGTGACTTTACCCCTACTTGAAAGTAGAGAGGTTGCATCCAAGAGACCCCCAGCTTGAGCAACACAGAAGGCACAGAGCAAAAACAAAGAAGCAAATAGCAAACTAAGCGTAAATAAAAACACAAAGAGACAAAAAGCACACAAACCACCACTAGCAACTAGACCCCACACAAAGACGAGCAAAAACTATCACCAAGGCTCACACGACAATCTAAGGTTGTATCCTTGGTAAGGGCCAGAAGTCTCTGATCCTGCCTATAAAACAAAGTAAAAAGTATTGGCCAAAAAAAGGAATGAGAATAATATCTTGGGATATTCTAAAGTAGTAAAGTGGCAAGTGGGAAGATGAGGGTTTGAACAAACTTTCCAGTTTATCTCAAACTTTACTTTTTAGTAGAACATTCAAAGATCATAATTTTAAAAGCACCTTTCTTTGTTAATATTCTCTAATATGCTTTCTAGGGAACCATGTTGGCGAACAAGCTTCAGAGCAGTTTGCGGCCCAATACCTGTTAAAGAGATATATTTTGGAATCATACAACATGAGACATTATAACATATGAATGCAACGAGCAAAGATATAAAACACATGCATATGACTTTAACAATAATGTGTACAATAATGATTTAACATAGAACATTCGATGATTTGTGCATTCCACATTTCCACAAATATTATCAAACTAATTGGTAATGTTGGTTACTTGATTTCTATGAATAACCATAAAGGCTATTTCTTCACAGCTGAAAATGCTATATCCGTCCCAAACTAAAAGGGGTAGTTTGACCCCGTGAATAATAAATTGGGCTTTTATTTTAGAACAGAGGGAGTATTTCATAAAGATTTGAATTAAAGAGTAAGCACGGAAAGAGGCAAAGAAAATGTAAAAAGGAAATAAATTGTATGTTATCGCCTAACTATATACTGGATATAGCCATCTAGGTAATAGTGTACTCATACATTAATCGCAATGTAATTGAAATATTAAAGAATCAAATATATAGAGGGTTGGACACAGTTATCCAAAAAAGGTTAGGTACCTCGTATACTATCACAGTAATCACATCCACATAAAATGCACAGGTCAATGAACTGATCCATTGTAAGTTCCAGCTCTTCTATAACCTGAAATAAAGGTAGTCAATAAAAGTAAATTGCATGATAGGACACAAGTGCCATTAGTACCTTTGAAACTTCAATTTCCATTACAGGTATCTTTTTGGAGCTAGGATCCATCAAATGGCGAAGAAACTTTGGAGCTCCAAAAGTTAAGGAATCCATATCTTCTGAGGCCACACCATAAACCTGGCATATGTTAAAATCCAAAGGTTCTCCTATAGCTGATTCAATGTGACAATGTAGTATATAAACGAAATATTGGAACAGGTTTCTTTTTGTTTAGCATTGAATTACACTTCCTCTGTTCAAAAATGATTGCAACATTAGAATTTTCACACTTGCCAATGCACAAACTAATTAACTTAATTGATTAATATATTCAATTATTATGTTTTAGTGAAAGCATTATAATATTTAATGAACTTCCATCTGGAACCCCAATATCATTAACATCCTGGAATATCAAGAACCTTAGTAGCACTTTATTACAAGAACTGAAATCCTTGACTAATTCCTAACTAACCATTAGCTACTTTATTATCCTAAATTCCAAATATCCAAGACTAAACAGATATTGAAATTTGAAACTGGGAACTTTCATGTAAAGAGAAAATTAGGACAATTGCCTGATCAGCCTTGCATAGTGCAGCACATTGTGCTTCTGCTTCAGAAGGAGCCTAAGAGAAGAGCACGAGAAAATTAATAATAACACATGTTACAGAACATTGAGGGAAGCAAGTTATTGGGAAAATAAATAAAAAAATGATACGGCTAAGAGTTATGCTGTTTTCACCTCAACTACCGGTACTCCCATCATTCTAAGAAGTTTTTTGCAGTCATCATTGTGTTGCTGTGTGACCTACGAATCCAAGAGCAATGCATCAATGGAATATGCATGTTTATGCATGAGTGCCTCGAAGAATTAATTAGCCACTTATGTTAGAATGTACTGTGTTTTTTTAAATTGTGCATAACAAGTAACAATAGTTCACACAGAGCTAGACCATGGGTCTCAAAAGTCTGAAGTGCACTTCAACATGTAACTTAGAAGCATAGAGGTTTATTTACCATTTTATTTTATCTAAGCTCTTTTAATATCCCTTGAAGTAAACCTAGTGAGAAGACCCCTCTCCCTGAAGGTATCAGCCTGTGTCATCTGCATAGTTTTATTTACGAACTGATATTGTACTGTGAAACACCGTAGACTTTCACTTAATAATAGTAATTCCTGAACCTCAAAACAGCATGCATAGAAAGTTGTAGTTTCTTTTATTTCTTCCCATGCTTCAATTACAAGTTGCTAAAGTTTGCTATATCTTGACAACTTTTACAGTATATACAAAAATCGAAAAGAGATTGGGATCGTATAGCCATAAAAGATGGTCATAAGCATCAAGAGCTCAACTAGCCAACCTTGAGCTTCTTGAAATTCTTGTTACACTACATACAAAAGCATATAACTTTGGAGCTTCTGGGAAATAATGCTTTTTCCTCTTATGTAAACCCTAACAAACCTATGATTATTTCAAATGCTTGATTCAACTACTGTGGTTTTGTCTTTTGGAGAAAATACATAAAAATAAGCTAGGACCATAGTTGTGAATGGCGAATGGCGAGTGGCGGGCGAGAGGTTCTTTTTTATGGTGAGAAGCGTGGCGAGCAGCGGCCGGTCAAATGGCGAACATTATATATATATATATATATAGTTTAAGTCTAAACTTTTAGTCTTAACTTTGTATCAAACATAATTATCAAAGTAAAACATGAGTTATTGGTAAAAGTTAAAACAAAAAACAAAACAAAACAAGAAAAGTAGAAAACAAAAAAAGTAGAAAATAGAGAAAATAAAGACAATAAATTATATCTATAAGAAATTGAAAATATAAAGACAATTAAGAAACAATAACCATTCAAAAAAAACAATAAGAAAAGTAGAAAACAAAAAAAAGTCTTGTGACCTGCGAAGTGTGGAGTCTGGACTTTACTTGAGCCGGCTCTGAGTCTGCGAAGATGTGTGTTGTTCGGACTTGGGAGAGAGAGGAGGGGCTGTGCCGGCTGAGGAGAACTTGAGGAGGGCAGGAGGTTGCGTCGGCTGGGGAGTTATTCGATCGACGGCGAGAGGGCAGAGGCAGAGGCAGAGGTGAGGCAATTGAATCGATGAAGTATTTCGATCAAGATATAGGTCAGCGCGTTTTAAAAAAAAGTCAAGGTTTTTAATTAAAAAACCCTTGACCTGCGTCTGGCGTAGATGGCGAACGCCTTTCGACTCAGAGTCTGGCGTCCATGGCGACCGCCATTGGCGAGAATGGCGTAAAACGCCTCGCCAGGTCTGAAGATGGCATCACATGGTCGCCACACAGCCATAGGCGCCTTAGGCGAGAATGGCAAGCGCCATTCACAACTATGGCTAGGACAAACACACAATAAGCATGTGAGGCAAGTCAAACAATAAAGATAGATGACAACTAGTCATGTAATCCAGCACTCTCCAGTTGAAAAAATATAATGAAAATACACCCACTATGAAGCTAATTCTACCACTATCCCATAAAGGTTTTTATGTTCACTATTCCAAGGTCAAAGTTTAATCACTTGCTTAATTTCATTACTAATTTCATAAAATAATATAGTCTTGTCACCTCTTGTTTTATAGAACCTTTGATATAGTTTTTAGATATATAAATTTTATTTTTAAATTTTACCACAATTTTTATACAAATCTAATTAAAAGTAAATTCAATCAACCATTGTAATCCACAACAAGAAAATCTTTCTGGGACAGATAGGGTAGAAAGCAAGACATACAACGAACCAACCTTTACAGTTCTTTTACTGAACTTTTCAATGTCCTCCTTATTGCCGATCTGCAATTAGAGATTATAAGCACCCAGTTATTGCAAATCTTAGAAAGTTTTCAATTTCTTCCCTCTCCCTCAAAGAGTTTGCTAATTTTCAGAAAGAGCAATAGAAATGAAACCCAAAATCAGTATAGACAAAACAAATCATTTCAACAGCATGATGCTTTTTATTACTTAACCTCTTCAGCTGCCGCTAGGCCAGCTGTTGCGTCTTCCCTTCTTGAGAAACTGCATAGAAAGTATACTGTCAGTAAATGAAGATAGACAGTGGTCCATTGGCATTTTCTATGGATAGATAGATTACTATACCGCTTTGCAAGCTCCTGTTTCTTCAAATCCGGAGGTTTCCCATCAAAAACATAGCTGACAAGCAAAGGCAAGTAAATTTTTAGTGAGGCAAGAATTCAAAAATAATTCCCAAAGTCCCCATGATGCAAGACAGAAAGATAATGTGACAACTCACGCTGGCTTTATTCCAGCCTCCAAAAGCCTAATTGTCCGAGAGAACATCCCAACCAAGTGACTGGAATCAATCAATGGAAACATGTTTCTTATATATTAGTCTAAGAATATAAGATCATAACACATGTCATAAAAGATATCAGTAACTATCTAGAAATCTGCTCTATTCTATAAATATCTGAACATGATCACATTGTTCTCCATTGCAAGATTTTACACTTTAGGATGCATAGACAAAATCAAATTTCAAATCATTTTGTAATCACATTATCCATCAAAAGACTTAGGAATAGTATACCTAGTGGTTTCGCCAGCCTCATTTGTGAGCATCTCAGACCCACTTCGTCCCACCACAATCTACGCATATTGTTCACAACACATTACACTTAAAACCTGCATATCTATACATAAATGCATGCTTATATGCATGCACATATACTGTACACACTACCAAGTGACAATGAGAATACATACAAGAAATTGGTAGATACTCATACTAGCATCAATAGCTATTTTGCGACCAAAATAGCTTTCAAATTTCTGTTCTTTCATGGACTTGGGGGCATTGTCTGCCAGCAGCTTCATTAAACCCTAAATTGTTCACAATTTCGGACTAATAGTGACTTAGCCTAGTACCATTTACCGAGTATTAATTTTGAATCGAAGTCTAAATATACGCACCTTGATTCCCATTCTGCAAGGGAAACTTGAAAATTTATGTTAGGTGAACACTGAAGCTTAGAACAGATATTGTAATGTGAGTAGTACGTCTTTCTTTAGCGACTAGGGTTTGCAGACAGACTTTCTTGCCGGACTCAAATCCTTGGCTGGAGGGAGGGGAAGGAAGGGAATAGACGAGATTACGAGAAGTTTGGCATTGCCATTTGCCAACAGATGCCACCTAGTTGCTACTTATCTGAGTTTTTTTTTTTGAGTATCTCGATAATACTCCCTCTGTCCTATATCTTTCTTCTCGTTGCGCAAAACGAAGAAAAATTTCATTCAATCTATTTTATTTAAATATTCGTGTAGAAATAAAAAATAAAACATACATATTTAAAAATTACATCAAAAATTCAACAAAATAAGAATATTTTATTTTGTCATATAGGCCATGAAAAAACACAAATAAATATAAGTTCCTGTGAAGTTGGAATAGTGCTCTGTGAAGAAAGTTTTAGGACGGAGGGAGTAGGTGTTTTACAAAATGAAGGATTTCCTATTTATTCTTCTATTATCAAATGTTATCACGGTGGTCTTTCTTGTATGAGTATCTTTCCACCAATAAATTTTTTTAAAAGAAATCATCCAATATAGCACCATTAAATATTACTCCCTGACTTCAAAAAAAAAGTATTACTCCCTCCGTCCCTATTTTGATTACTATTTTTTCTTTTCTTCTCGATAACTTTTATTTATTTACGCGATTTCATTAAGGCCCCATTTAGTATACACAATTCGAACTATGGAATTAAAATTGAAAACTTCAATTCCAATTAAGGTGTTTGGTAGCACAAAAATTATGTGAATTTGGAATTGATAGTGCAAAAAATGAATTGGAATTGGTGAATTCAATTCTATGTAATTGAATCACATGAATTTAAATTCTAATTCAATTCAAATTCTATCAATTCTGTATACCAAATGGACTCTAAGTATTTCATAAAATAAAATATTTTTGTCACCTCTTGTTTTGTAGAACTTTTGACGTAGTTTTTTAATATGTAATTTTTTTATCTTATTGATATACCAATTTATAAATAAAATTATTTCAAAAAGTGAAAAATTTTCCCTCGTAACCCGCAATTTGTAATCAAATTGGGGAGGGGAAGTACAAAATACTTATATAGTACTCTCAACCCATTTTTCACTTTTATAGCATCTCCATCGAATATGAGAAGACGTTGAGCAAACTCGAGGCGAAGAAACATGGCGGTTTAATCAAGTGAACACAAGAACCAAGAACGAAGACTTAGAATATAGTTGATTTGGTCTTCATGTGATCAAGACCGACATTAACTTTACAATCTTGGATCTTTAGGTTTAAATACTTTTCATTCATCATCTAAATCATTTTCATAAGTTTTTAATAAGCCGAAAACACTTGAACTTCGCCCAAACCAAAAACCAAGTCATCCGGCGTTCAAAAACCGGCATTCGACCTTCGGCTATCGGAGTTGGTTTTTGGCGTCCGAACCAACCAAATGGTTTTTAATCTTTTATAATTGGTTTTTACTTCTAGACATATTTAAACAGTTCTCCAACAAAATATATTAAAAACCACCTTTCATTTTTGTCTTTTGGTAAAAACCATGTGAAACGGTATAAACTTGGCTAGCCGTGATTTTTACCTTAATGACGTGGTTTTTAAGATATTTCACTTGGTTTATTAGTCAAATAAATTAAATAAGTGTTTTCAACACTTTGTTTTTAAATTGGAAAACTTTGATTTTTGACATCGGCTTTCGGCATTAACCAGCTAACCATGGACATGGTTCTGGCAAACCAGCCCAACAGCAATGTTGGACATGCCAACAGCATTGTTTGGTATTTGCACCTAAAACCATGATTTGGCATCAAGTCTTCCAATAGTGATGTTGGACTATGAACATCGCTGTTAAGCCAAGCCTAAATCATCCAATAGCCTTTTAAACAACGATGTAGAAGACCCTACATCGATGTTTAGCTTAAGGCCAAGAAAATTGAGTTTGGCAGAACAATTTTAAATAGCGATGTTGGCCCAACAACATCGATGTTAGGCCAAAATCTTCCTTTGGCAGGATAAGCCTGAACAGCGATGTTCACTTGAGAACATCGATGTTGGCACCTGACTGATGGAAGATATATTAAAGGCTAAAATTTTCCTTGTTTGGAAGTCAACCCCCAAAACAATTATTGTAACATACACCCTAATCCGTCTAGATCGGCAGCCCTTTTTGGGCTAAATTATAAACTTGGTATTCGTAAACATTCAAAATACTTCAACATTTAAAAACTTTATTTCATACTCCGTATTAGATTATTCAGGATAATAAAGGAGTAGTTTAACATTGCGGAAGCTTAATAAATAACAATTACAAAACATAATAATTTATGTCTTTCAAAACAGTAATTCAAAATATACACATCCATTCCGACCATTTCGCCTCATCTGCCGCTAGGAATACATCATTTCATTCTTTTTGTTTACATGCGTGCAGCAAATAAAACTACTACACGCTCAGCGTTGAAGCTGAGTAAGATTATCTAATGCATCGAACATCCATATTAATTGGATCTCAATTCATAATCAAATCATTTGATATCATGCGCATAATATTCAGTTTAGATATTCAATAAGTAAAATTTGTAGTGAATATGACTAAAACATAAGTCATTTCTCAATGTATGACTTAAACTTTTTTATTCCCTAAATAGGACTTAATAATGACCAGTGAGAGAAATAATATCCAAGTGATGCTGGACATTTAGTTGAATAATGACTAATAGATAATGATCAATGGTCCTACATTGAGAAATAAAAACATATGGTCCTATATTGGGAAAGTCATTATGTTTTAGTCTTATTTAGGTAAATTATCCATTCAATAATCAATAATCAATAATCAATAATCAATATTCATCATTTATTATTCAACATCCATATCCAACTTTCATAGTGTCAACAATGCTCATAAACTATTCTAAGTCTAAGGCCAATTTAATTCTTAAACTAATTTAAGATATTTCTAACCAACCCTTAAGCTAAGCATAATTTAAGATACAGATTTTCAAAAGAGTTTTCAAAATCTTAAACTTACTTTCGCTTAAGATCAACCAGAACCCAAACAGCGGAATGATCACTGTCGGGTTGGGTGGTACTAGACCTGTGCAAATAAGGATCCGGGCCGGATCTGGGCTGAGTTTGATATAAATTATTAGCCCATTTACATGGGCGGGTCTGGCCCGGCCCGGATTTGATGGGCTAAATTCTTTACCCGTACCCGCCCATCTTTGAGGGCCGGACTGCCCACCGGGCTGCCTGGCCCGGATAAAACATCAAGAAAAAATTTTTTGTACAAAAAATTTAAAAAAAACATTGAACTCTTTTTCAATGTTTAAAATAAAATAACCAGTCACCACATTTATATAGAAAGCATAATAGAGATATTGTTGCATAATTAATAAACCCATCATAATGATTCATTAAAAGAGTATTGATTTTTATTTAAAAGAGGTGAGTGAATTAAACTATTATACATGAATTATAGAAAATTTTAAAATTTATATTGGCTTGGTAATTATTCATAAAGTAAATATATTTGATGAATATGGGCGGGCCTATTGGCCCAGATGGACTAAAAGTAAGTTCCAGATTCGCCCATATACAATTCGGGTTTGGGCCGGCCCGCCCATTTGGGTATTAAAGGTTTTCCATATCCGCCCTTTTTAAAGGGCGGGCTGGGCAGGCCGACCCTTGTTTGCACAAGTCTAGGTGGTACCCGCATGTTCGTTTTAACCTTAGCCACCAGACATCATACCCGCAAGGCCTAACTAAATGGGTATATCTTAAAGTTCTTCTTGATACCTTCAAAATCAACGTCACTGTGGGTATATTTTAGAGTTTTCTAGATACCCTTAAATTCAATACACAATATAATCATCAATATATTCATTTTTAAGTCATGGTTCAATCATAATTATAAATCTAATCAAAATATTCATCATAATCAGCAATAATAATCATCATAATAATCATCAATCAATAATAGTTGTTAAGTCACAAAATGTCATATTTTATTCCCTTATTTCTTAGTAGTTTTAATACATTTAATATGCATTTTATACCTAAATGAACATATTTTCTAATATTTAATATTTTAGGCCATTGTTTGCATATTATACATAAAATGCATGATTTTGAGCATATTTATATTTGATAATTAATTTGGAGTCCTGATCTAAGGAAGATAATGGAATTGGGCCGATGGAACAAAGCAATGGGAGAAGAATGAAGTTAGGACCAAGCTCAAAGATGTATTTGATCAACCACCTTTTGACCCAACCAATTATTGAAGCAAGCAAATTAATAAAAGGGGAAAAAAAGAAAGAACCGTAGAAGAGGAAGCAAACCAGCGCAGAAGAGAGCAGACTCTAAACGGAAGGCGCAAGAAACAGAGTCCTTCCCCAAATCCAACGCAAATTCCAAGAATCATACTCCAAATTGAAGATTCCAAACTTCACAATTATAAAAGGAGACAAAAGCCACAAGAAAAATCATCTTCTTCAACTCCACAGAGGAGATCGGGACAGGAAAAAGAGATCAGAGCAGAGGATACGAAGAGCCGGCCTAGGGTATCGACCCTAGGTCCGGCGAAAACAACTAGGACCAGCGAAGACTAGTGGCACTTCGGCCATGGAATCTGGCGTCCTTCTGGCAGCGAATGGATGAAGGAGCAATACTCAAGGGAGCTTCTTTGACTTTTAATCTTACTTCAAACTTTTAATTAGGATCTTCCAATTTGTCAATTTCCAAATTATGAATTTGAATTTCCATTATTTAAATAAGTTTATTTTCAATTCATGTTTGTTGAATGTTTAAGTTATATAAGTGTTGAATTGTTTGAATGTTGTTGAATTGTCCAAAAATGATTTATTGATTTATTAGTCTCTGAATTATAAAACCTTATTAGGCCAAATTGTTTGATAAAAAAAATTAAATCTTTGATTTGATTGTTCTTGAATTAATTTGACTTTGAAGAGATTTTAGCTTTATGCTACTGTTAATGTAACGCCCCAAAATATATCCTAGATTTATTAATGAATAAATAATCAATTAATCAAATTTGTTTTGACTAAAATAAATTATTGTTGGGCTTTGGGCCGATACGAAATTTGTTTTGACATCTAATATCAAAATCTGGAT